TTGATTGAATCTAATAATATATTTGATACTCTGTTAAATTACTTAATTTAGATCAACATTATATAATGAAACAAGTGAATTAAAATAAAATGAAGTAATACTAATATGGTTACATGAAGTTTATTTTAATATAAAAATAATTTTTATCCATAATATGCTACGATTATTAATATTATATTAAAACTGATAAATAGTTTTTTTGAACTTCTGCAATATCAATCAATATCTTACATCAAGTATTTCAACAATAACTTCATAAAACAATTTTTCGTTATAGATTTTTTACATTTATTTTTAAAGTGACGTAACAGAAAATAATTTTATTATTACAGAACTTTAAAGGTTATTTAAAAAGCCTTCTGTGCTTTTTAAAGTCTTTACAGAGTTTAATTGAAGTTATATCAAATTTAGTTATCTAATATAGTTTTATCAATAATAATATTATACTTTTTTTCTGAATAATTCCAAAGATATTCTATTAAAGTCATTTTCTAAGTTTTTTGCTAATTATCTTTTCATCACATTTTTAACCAATTAAAAAGAATAAGTTTTATTATCAACATAATCTTTTTAATCTATATAATAAGAAGCTACTGGATATTTAAACCTTAACACTTGACGTAATTGAATAAGCGTTAATAAGATTGAGCAATTATCACAATTTCAGATGCTATAATATTTGTAATTCCTAGTTTAATATTTAGAATTTTCTGAAATTATCATACAAAATATTACGTATGTTTATTTTCAAAAACTTGTATATTTTTATGATGAAATTCGTATATTCTATCTCTAACCTTATTACAATTTCTTTTGAATGATGGTCAAATAGTAAAAGGTTGGCTAAATTTCTTAATGAACCTACTAAGTTTAAGGTGAAAATTATTTTGTTTATTTTCAAACAGTAATTTTAAAATATGTAAGTTTGTTCATTTGGTTAATTTTATTATAAATTCTATATTTTTATTTGAAGTAGTATAACTTTTTCCAAGAATATAATTGATTAATATATCTATTATTCAAGATTCTTGACTCAATATCAGAACTTTCATTCTCTATTTATTATCTAAAATATATATTAAATAAACAATTTTATTTCATATGAATTCTTAAAGTTTAATTTCTTGGCATAAGCTTCCTTTCATTTATTCTTAATTTACTATTTTATTTTATTTTATTTTTTTTTAGCAAAAAAAGAATATGAATTTTTTTTAAAAAAATTTACTTATATTATTATTATATTCTAATCAATATTAAACCAGATTTTTTTGATCATAAATTGCAAATAATTAAATGAAAAGTTAATTTCATAATTTAATTCTGTCAGAAATTCACCTGTTCAAAACAAAAAAAATAATTCCTCTTAGGTATAATTAGGGTTAGAATAAGAGGTCAGAAGTTTTATCACAAGTAGCTAAATATGTTAATATTTAAAATATTCATATATCCAGATGATCATATTCAAATAAGTCAAATACTATCTGAAATGATCTATAAATGAAAAGTTTTAATCTTTTGTAATCCAAATTAAGATTCATAGAAAAGTCTTTTTTTTTCACAAATTTTGAATTTCAGTTTTTAAATAAAAAAATATCAACACAATTTTTTTTAAATTAAGCTAAAATTAACTTGAAATTTTAAAGGATGATGAATATTATGATATTATAATCGAAGTTGAAGAATACCCAAATATAAAAATATTTTGTATACATATGAATATTTTATGTTATCATTCTCCATTTTTATGATGAACTTTGGTTTCCAATAAAAAGAATTATAACAATGAGATAGCTTATTTAAAATTATCAATCCTTTTCTCATTTCATATCCTTTGACTTGGACAAGTAATGATTTCAGAATAATAAAAGATACTTTTCAACATGTTTTATCATTTATTAGATTTTTTGTTTATCTTCTAATGAATTCAACCAAAAAGTTTATTTATATAGAAAGCTTTTGAAATATGATCTTTATGAAGATTTATTAAATTCTTACTTAGATCTTAAAAATGAGCCAAATATTGACATTTTATTCCCTACATATAGAAAAGTTAATGGAATTATTGATACAAAGTGTTAATTTAAACATTCTTTCCATAATTTCAAGATGACTTGATAAGATGGAAATTAAAAGCAAATATACTTATGCAAAAGAATTGTATTTACTGTATAAGTTTAAACTATTGTTAAGAGGAAGTCGAGATGGATTTAATCTTGACAAATGGCATGAATTATGTGATAATATATCTTATACTGTTATATTAATCAAGGTGGTAGGAATAAAAGAAGTTCGTGAAGGATATAATCCTTTAATATGAAAGAAATCTACTATTAATATTGGTGAATGAAGTGAGACCAAGGATATTTTATATTCTTTTAAGAATAACATCAATAAATTTAATAGGACATAATATTGCGTAAACTTATATTCAGTAATATTACGAAAACTTATAAGACTGCTGTAAGACTATGTAAATTATATTTTGTAATATTCTGTAATATTATGATGTAGTACTATATAATGTTATGGAATGTAAACTATGCAAAAGTTTACAGCGTAGTACTTCATAATATTATAGTGTAATATTATGTAAAACTTACAAAAATATAAGAATTTTGAAAGTTTATGATATAGTATTTCATAATATTACGATGTAATGTTCTGTAAGACTTACAATAATATAAGAATTTTAAAAGTTTACAGCGTAGTATTTCATAACATTATGGTGTAATATTCTGTAAAATTTACGATAATACAAGAATTTTGAAAATTTACGGGTATATTAACATAATTTACGAAAATTTATATATCAATTCATTTATAATATTTATTTAATACTTTCAATTGGATAATATTTTGTAATTTACTGAGTTTAATATATTTAAATTTATTTATTTATATACAAATTATACTTTATTTAAACAATTTCACAAATAATATGATATAAAAAAGAAAATATTACAAAAACGAGATCACAGTAACATATATTATCATAAGTCTAATAAAGCTAAACATTGATGGAAATTTTTCTAAAATAAATGGTTGATAAATAAAGAAATTAAATGTTTAAATATTTAATGTTTCAAAAATTTTGCATAAAATAAAAAAAAAAAATAATTACTAAAATAGAAAAATAAAAAAGAGACAATTAGTAAAGAAGCAAAAGAGAGACAGTTAGTAAAGAAGCAGAAATAATTAATAGAAAAGAAAGAAAATACAGTTAGTAGTGTTAATATTAATATTAAGATAAAGGGTTTTCATGCCAACTAAATAACTTAGTCAATAAAGATTAGTTTTTTGTTTATTTTTTTTTATCATAAAATTTGTAATTATAATTACTTACAAAAAAATTATAAATGACCAAATATTTTTAATAAGATATTTTGTCGAGAAATGAAAAAGATAAAGTTTATTTATTTATTTTTTTTTCAGTATGTAGTGATGGTATAATAATTGGTTTTACTAGCTTGCGTTAATATGTTGTAACAGTATAAAATTTTGGCTAAAATCTGATTACAAATCCAATGTCAATTAAATGTCCTTGTTTATCATTTCATCGATCCTGATATCAACTTTATGTTCTGAGATAATCAATGTGAAACATTGTAGATCCAGATGTCAATTTTATTTCCAGTGTAATAGGCAACTTTATTGACATAATCATCTTTGCTGATCAATTTTGTCAACATTATTTCTTGACGATGTCATTTATTTTTCATAGATATATTTAGTTTGGTTCATTTTATAATAATCAAACATGTATAAATACCTTTGTATTATTATTGAAAAAGAATACCAATGAATAAATCCATCAATTAATACATATCTTAAGAAGAAGTAAGGATAATATTTCACTGGATGAGATTATTATCTTATGACCTTATGAGGTATGGAACTTACAATTTATTATAATTAATAAAGCGTATAATTAACCAAGTTAAAACTTATCCTTCGCAACCCTTTTACCTGTATATATATATTATTGTTTATTAACTTGCGTGATATTGTAATCACTAAACGTAATCTCTGAAATATCCAGAAATTATTCGTATGTAATTGAAAATAATCTTTGACATTTACTATGAATCTTCGTTGTGATTTCCTGAGTTTAGTCTTAGCATTATTAATTTTTGTGAATTTTATTTGAGTTATACAATGTGTAACGAAAAAAACGGTGGTCAATAAAATAATTTTTTTTTGCAAATAAATTATAAAATTATATAATGTCGATCATAAACAAAACATTAATTTAATATTTCCAAATTTAGAAAAACGTGATTTTATAAGTAAATTTTTGTTTACCTTTGTTTTTTTTTGTGTTTTTTCTTTGCAAAGATGGTTAGTGCAAAGTTAGAAGCTCAAAGGCAAACAATTTGACATTACTGGCTTAATGGCATTAAGTCAGCAAAGGAAATACAAAAAAAAACTAGTATTCCCCTTCATACCATTGAGCGTAATCTTAAAAAGCTTAGAGAAACAGGTGATGTTAATCATCAGTGTAATAATGGTCGGAAATCGAAGATTACACAAGCCATTTCTCGGGCTATTAGGCAATATGTGCACAAAAATACTGCAGTTTCGACCCGCCAACTTATTACAAAAATAGAAGATACCTATGATATTTCTATTTCACACATGTCTATTTGGAGAAATATGAAAAAAAAGGGTATAAAAGTTCTGTCTCATTAGCAACTCCAACGCTTACAAATCGGCATATTGAAATGAGAATAGCATGGGCACAAGCATATTTAAATGATAATTGGAATCAAACCATATTCACTGATGAAACAGCATTTGACCTTTTTCGAAATAAAGTCAGTAGATAGCATAAAAATAGTGAAAGACCTATCTGAAGGTTACCAAAATCTCGCCAAAAAGTGATGGCATGGGGAGGAATTTCAAAAAAGGGAAAAACACCCCTTTTTTGTTTTACTAATATTATGGATGGAACATTTTATGTGAGTGTATTGCAAGACCAGCTTCTACCTGCTGCAAGAAGCATGTATAGAAGAAACTGGTGCCTGCAACAAGACAATGATCCGAAGCACACATCACGTATTGCAAAGAATTTTATTACCGAAAATTCAATCTGCATAATTGATTGGCCATCCAATAGCCTGGACCTTAACCCTATTGAAAATATGTGGACAATCATCAAAGATAATGTAGAAAAAAGGATGCCTCAAAATATTAGTGAATTAACCAAATTTATGGTTGAAGAATGGGATGCAATTGCTCAGTTAACGGTGAATAATTTAGTAATGTCTATGAAAACCAGATGTGAAATGGTTTTGGAGAAAAACAGTGATAGAATATTGTATTGAATTTTTTTTGTCTAATAAAGGAATTAATCGGCTTTTAAACCAATATAAATTCATCCAAATCGATGTGTAGATTTTAAGTTGTGCCATTTTTTGTCACCGCCATTTTTTTCATTACACACTGTAAATCGGACGTAACATTTTGGTGGTCCTTATAAGAAATGGAAACAATTATCAGATGATTAGAATTAAAATATTGTATTGAAAGTATTGTATTGATTTTATGCTGAGAATCACTGAAACTTCTTTCACTGAAATATTTTAAGTTAGTTAAATTGATTCAACAAATTGAGTTATAGAATTTTTGATGTAATATATTGGTCAATGATAATGACATTATTTAGTTACTGGATTATACTTAAATTAATTTGAGTAGTGATCAACAAATTATTTATTTAATATATAAAATTACAAGAATTACTTTTGAAATAACGTTAGAGCGAATTTTAAATTGCAAAATATATTTTATTTGAATGATTAAAATAATGTAGAATATTTACAATATTGGAAAATAATGATTGAAAAGTGAAGTCATGTGATATATTATGCGATATGACATTATTTTATGAAATGTCTTAAAAAGGAAATACAAAATAAAAATTTGAAAAAAAAATTGTGAAAAGACTATCTTATAGTGACTTTGTAGAGGAAATAAAAAAGGCAAAAATCAATGATATTTTGAAGAAAGTATTCAAGATATACTAATAGAAAACAATATTGTAGATGAAAAATTAACATGTTCTAGTAATCTCAAAATTCGCAATAGTGATACTTGTTATAATGAAAATTCTGAAATAATGGAATGAAAAATGAATGAAAATTTAGTAGATAATGATAAATGGATTTAGAAATTAAATTTGTAATGAAGAAAAAAAAAATTTTTTTGATAACAAATTACTTACAATTGGACTAATCAGCAGTAAATGTTGAAAGAAAAGTAATGCATTATTACGAGTATAAAGTATTGGAGAAAGTAGAATTATAATGGAAAGATAAAAATGAAAATGAATTTGAAGATAAATTCATCTTGAACTATTCTGCTACGCAATAAAAAGCAATTTCTATAAAATAGTGGAATAATACCAAAATCTCAGAGACCATTATCTCGTGATCTACTGATCTGAATTTCGTAAAATTAAGACCATCGTGTACACTGAGATGTGCTCTTGAAAATGATATATATTGCATTTCTAACAGACTACTTTTTTTTTAAGATGACTCAGGATGGAATGATTGCTTTGTAAGCATAACTCCATGAGGAAATCAGGTGTTGTAAAAACGTATGCTATCAATCACTCTTAACCTAAGGTCCCATTGTTTCAGATTTCCCAGGCACTAGAGCATATCCCCTAGGTTGTGCCATCTAAGGTATGACATCCTATTTCGCATACCTCAATTTATGCGCGAATAGGTACTTTAGCAACCCTGGTACTGTTAAATTTGAATAGAAAGTACATCGCAGTTATAGTGAACGTCATTACTATTCTAATCAGCAGTCTGGGTGAACTATAATCAAGATCTAATTATTTGATTTAACTTTGATATGAAGCGATCTTACATGACTTATGCCCTGGGAGCTACCATATCTGTATAGACTACTTTCAACCAGGTGACTTTGATATCGAGAACATCAAAAAACTCAGAAATTGAACCTGACCTCTAACCCTAGTAATAGCTCGATTTGGGCCTATACTGCGATATGCAATGTAGTCTAATTATTACTGGTTTGTTACCCAATCTACTAATGTTTGGTCAATCACTTTCTTATTTTATACATGTAATCAC